ATTGAAATTCGTTCCAACCAATTAACCAAAATTGTTCCAATATCCAAAGTCCAAATCTGATTCCAATATCCAAAGTCCAAACCTGATTCCAAATCCAACTTGACACAGTGACTATTAAAAAAAAAATTAAGCCTAATCATAATAGATAGTCTAATCGACAAACAAGAATCATGGATGGAGTTATCAGTTATCAGTTATGGAGAAATAGAGAATCAGAGGAAGAACATACCGTTTCTTCACACTTGAAAGCCTTTCAGAAAGAAGAATCAACAATTGATTGATGGAAAATCGAAGTTTGAACAATCAAGATTAAAAAATCGATTTTTTGATTTTTGAACAATCCAAAATCAAGAATCGATAAGACTTCAGAGCCAGAAGACGAGAAGAAGAAGAACAATCGTTTGGCAGAGCTGATGCTTATGGGGTGTTTGAGATTCCTTTTAAAACAAATTTTGGACTTTTAACTTGGGCTAATGTCATAAAAACCCTCAAGTTTTCAAGGTTTTGTCGGTTTTGCCCAAAGTTGAATTTTATGTCCGTTTTTACCCTAACATTTTCCAAAAAATGTTCGGTTTTACCGTTTTACCGGAGATAACAGGTTACCATTATATTAACTTCGCAAAAAAAAAACCCTTAAGTTTATAGTTTTTTACGTTTTTACCCTTAAGTTTATATTTGTTTTACTCTTTTACCCTTTGTATTTTCTTTTTCATATTATATGTATTCATGCAGAAAAATAATATTTATATACAAAAAAAATTTAATTAGATATTGTATTTACAATTTTTTAATGTTATTTCTTCGAATATATATATATATATATATATATATATGTGTGTGTGTGTGTGTGTGTGTGTGTGTGTGGGTTTTTTTCTTGGATAAACCATTTAACATGTAAAAAAAACACAAATTAATATGTTTTTAGAACTACAGGTAAATATGTTTATGTATTTAAAAATATACATATCAATAAAAAAACTTGTTGAATCATAAACATGTTTATATAAGTATATACATATATTTTTAGAAGTATAAATATGTATTTTGATATATGTTTTTTTAAGTATAAATATATTTTTAGAAGTATAGATACATATTAATATATAAAAATGCAAAATATGTATTTATACTTCTAAAACTATATCTATAAAACACGTAGTCATAATTCTAAAAATATTATTTATCTTTTTAAATGGTATAACCTTGCAAACACACACACACACAAACAAACATATATATATATATATATATATTATATATATATATATATACTATATATATAATATATATATATATATATATAACATTAAAAAAATATAAATACAATATTTAATTAATCATTTTTTCGTATATAAATCCGATTTTTCTGCATAAATATGTATATTATGAAAAAAAAAATTACTTAGGGTAAAAGTGTAAAAAAATTATAAACTTAAGGGTAAAAACGCAAAAAAAGGTAAACTTAAGGGTTTTTTTGCGAGTTTAATATAATGGTAACCTGAAAAACCTGTTATCACCGGTAAAAGGTTAAACCGAACATTTTTTCGAAAATGTTAGGGTAAAAACGTACATAAAATTCAACTTTGGGTAAAACCGACAAAACCCTGAAAACTTGAGGGTTTTTATGACATTAGCCCTTTAACTTTTCCTAAAAGTCAAAAAAGTCCAAAAGATATTTGGCAAATGGGAAACTTCTTTTAAAACAACTTTTTGCCATGAACAAAAAAGAGTTTTTTCAAAAGTTATAAAGTCCCATATTTTTGTGACTTTTTAATATGTTACCAAGTAAATTACATTTATACTCATTAGGTTGTGGAGAGTGGTCACCACCAGCCCACCGAAAAAGTGGTGGCACATGTGCGTCATGTCAGCTTCACTACCAACCCACTAGACATAGGAAATAGTTACCACTAACAATATTTATTTTTATTTTTATTTTTATTTTTTTTGTTTGTTGTAACATTATATTAAATAAAAAAACATAATCATGTACCAAAAGTTCATTTGCCGCATCTCGATCCCGGTTGATCTATTTTCTATGCTTCTTCTCGTCGTGTGAACTTTCGTCTCTCTCACGAATCATGTCTTGTGCCGCAGACAATAGTATGTGCAAAACCAACTCGTCATCAGAATCGTTATCCATTTTTTTTTGTCAAATGTGTGTTTTTGATTTGAAAGAGTTTGTGTGTTTGTTTTGAAAAATATATGTAAAAATGGATGTATATATATAGAGAAATAAAATTAAAGATTTTTTTATTTAAGGCCTAAACGGTCGAAAAAGTAATCCACCAATAGCCTTACGCGTCTTATTTCGTCCTAGTAGCCACTCCACCACCAACCCACCGAAGCCGGGGGGCGGTGTTCATGCGTGGAGAGAGGCTCCACGTAAGCAGGTCACGTGTGGAGCTCCCTCTACTCTGGGGCAGCCTTACAACTACCCAAACACTTTTTAAGCATGTCCTTTTTAGTCATTTTGAATGTAAAAGTTAAGCCAAACACTTTTTAAAAACAACTTTTGGCTTTTTCCCCTCAAACACTAATCCAAACACATTTTAATAAACTTCTTTTGCAAAAAGTCCTTTTACAAAAAGTCTGTTTACAAAAAGGACTTTTGAGGTTAAAAAATAATTCCAAACACCTTCTTAGTTTCAATCAAAATTGTGGCATGCGTGTCTACGTGAATGGAGAATCCGAAATCGGCAATCCCTTAATTAATCGACATTTAGGTTAAGTGGGCCCCTTAGATTTAGCTTAGAATTGGGGCCCTAAGCCCTTGCTTACTTTCAATCAATGTAAGGTCGGCACTAACTAGATGTATGAAAAGATTTGTATTGTTGACCATCTTATAAATATTAAAAAAGAATTAAAAAAATCTTGAAAATTAGTAGGGACAGAATAGTCAATTTAAGACAGTTAGGGACCAAATTCGAAACAATAGTAAGATACATAGCTAAATTAGAGACCAAAATAACTACCCAAACACTTTTTAAGCATGTCCTTTTTAATCATTTTACATGTAAAAGTTAAGCCAAACACTTTTTAAAAATAACTTTTGGCTTTGCCCCTCAAACACTAATCCAAACACATTTTATAAGAAACTTCTTTTTCAAAATAATCCTTTTGCAAAAAGTCTGTTTACAAAGAGGACTTTTAAGGTTAAAAAGTAATCCTAAACACTTCTTAGTTTCAATCAAAATTGTGGCAAGCGTGTCTGCGTGAATGGAGAATCCGGAATCGGCATCCTTAATTAATTGACATTTGGGTTAAGTGGGCCCCTTAGATTTTGCTTTTGAATTGGAAAAGCTTAATTTCAATCAATGTAAAGTCGGCCCTTGACTAGAGGTAGGAAAAGATTTGTATTGTTGACCATCTTATAAATATTAAAAAAGAATTAAAAAATCTTGAAAATCAGTAGGGACAGAATAGTCAATTTAAGACTGTCAGGGACCAAATTCAAAACAATAATAAGATACATAGCTAAATTAGAGACCAAATACAAAGTTTACCTCAAACCAGATCCACCATTCATGTAATTTACTTTACATTGTATATAAACACGGTCTTATTTGTAATTTATTTATATCCATAAGATTCACCGATAAAAAATTATTATTATTATTATTATTGTTATTAGTAGTAGTAGGGAGAATGAAAAAAATCATGGCATCATCATCAGAAATAACAAGATTATCATTATTATTATTTCCAACTAAGTGTTCTTTTTTTTGGTTTAAGATTCGATTAATGTTTAATTGATCCTAGATTCTAGATTATGCGTATAACATAATACAAACCTCTACATGAAAACAATTGCACATTCGACTCGGACCACCACATCAATTGCAAGTTAAAGTGGATTGTCTATTATTGGTTGTTCAACCCAACAAGGCAACAACTAATAAAATATAAATTTCATGGACACTATATAATATAAAAATTATAGTAGTTGTAGATAAGGTCAATTTTTAAAGATTAAATTTAAAAGTAATGTAAACCAAATTTATCAAACTTTATTAAATATACATAATGGGGGAGTTGGAAATGATAAATGCAATAAAAAAAAGTAGATTAAACAAAGAACCATTAGCGAGATCTTTCGCAAGTTTTTTACGTAACCGATTAGACTTAAAAGTAGCTTCACGAAGAATAAGTTGTGTTCACGAAACAATATCAAGGTTTTTTACTTGGTAAACATGTATTTGTGAGTTAGTGAACATGTTTTCGCACGAAAAATGCTTTTTTGGATAACTAGAATTTTGGAGGTTACTTAGAAATATGATCCAAGTCTTATTATTGTACTGAATAACTCGAGAAAAAGGTGTAATGCATGTCTTGTAAGCTATGCACGTAACAAATAAGACATCTTGATGTCCAACTTAAGTTTCCATTTCGTACGGGTCTTAATCCCTTAAGACTTCTCACATGCAAGTAATAAAAAAGTCTTTGCTGGCATTCACGTCTTTATACAAAAGCAACATAAACCTAAACCTTGAGGTATCTCTTTGTTCTCTCACAAAATGCCATATACAATCCAGATTAAATGTTTTGCGCATCAAACTTAACGTACACGAAAAGAGTACAAAAGTAAGAACAATGTTTAAATATTGTGGATAAAAAAAATATTATTGGATACTCTTCAAACTTACAAGGAAAAACCCTTAAAATAGTGGCTCTATTTTTGGTAGGCGCGACTTAAAATCCAAGATTCTAAATCAAATTTGAATAACTAATAATATTCAACAAATCTACATTAACATAAATCAATGAGCTCAAGCGATTTACCTATTAGATGGAAATATACAAAAATTTAAAAATCTTTAATAAAACCCAAAAATGTTATGAAATTGTATTATTTTGTCTCAATAGTGATGCTTCCGTTAGTTGTTAGATATGTACCCACCACCCACCCCTAGTGCACTAAAGATGATATAGATAGAGACTGTATATATTGCTTCAAAGCTCACCAAACATGATTGCAAAAAGGACTTCATTTTTACTCAAACTCCCTATTACTCAACTGTAAAATAAAACATGCTACATTACTTAGTTTTCCTCTTTCCACACACAAGAAGATCAAAACAACCAAAAGAATGGCTTTTTTCGAGAGGGCATCACCCGCATTGAAGCACATTTTGCTCCAACTCTATAGGTAATACTATCACTGTTATTTTATCTCATATGCATTTTCATGAACCTTTCAAAAAACACGTAAAATTTAACATCATGATCAATGGTTGTTTATTAAACTTCCATGTAACGTATAGATACTGGCAGGTGCTTGTGAGCTGCCAATAATTTTTATTATGATTTTAAGTTGATTCAGAAACTGTCATTGAGTCGGTCTGTCATTTTAGCATCGGAGTGTTACCAATCGTGTAGGGTGTAGGGCTAGATACCTCTAACCATTTGGTAGACAAATTTTAGTGCTTTGTATGTAGGTTTTCCAACCATGGTGGTGCACTAAAAGTGTGCGGGACTTTGATAAATGTAGGTCCTTAATGTCGGTTTTATACAAATCAAAAGCTAAAACAAACTAACTTATTTCTTTCACGACAGGGATGATAAGCCTTTTGCAGTCGATCACCACTTGCACGAATTCGGATCATTGCAATACCACATTCAGGTAAAAATGATAAACTTTGTAATGTGTTTGATATGTATTTAATTATGATTATTAGTATGACTATCGCTATTACAATTTTATATTATATTTGACATGTATGTGACTATGATTATGACTATGACACTATGAATTCTCCCATTGAAAAATATGGACATATACACACTTATCAAGTGAAAAATAAATAAATACCCTCTTGTTCACTCTTACAAAAAATTAACCCTAATTCTTCACATAACATGAGGTTTATCTTTTTATCAGTCGTATGCTTCAGAACCACATCATGCTTACCTCTCTGTTTCAACTCCTCTTCTATCCACCGGCTCTTCGATCTTATGTGAGCTTCCTTCTTCCACCATGGAAACAGTAACACGAATTTGCCCTGAAGTTGTGGAGATCGTTGATCCACCACGAACAGGATATCAGCTGACTCTTAAGCTCAGTTTCGCTAAAATTCCAAGAAAAAAAGGTAAATTATGCTACAATCGATCGTTTTGTCACTGTAAAAGCCCTAGAACCAGTCGTTTTGTGATCTAGATGCAGCGAAGATTATTACAGAGATTGCATCGGTGCACACGGTGATACTGAGCTCTCAGCTACGAGAATTGTTGGAGAATGTTAATGATCAGGAGATAACTCAGGGGACATACAAACCGATCAAACTTGTGTATCATCAACGGGAGCCTTTCTACGTCGTTAAACAGGTAATGTTAGGGTTTTTTAGGGAACAAATCTCGAAAACTTCACACTTCACACTTCGGATTTTCAAATTTGATTCATGTGTTTGGCAGCCGGAAAAGTTGACGGCTGTTTTCCCGATTCGGATAAAAGAGGATTCAGATGTGGTTATCGCAAAGGCGTTCTTTCAGGTTCGAATTCCGTTAGTTGCTGTTAGTATCTATGATTTATCTCATTGTTTTGAGGTTTTGAATTCGTTTGACAGGAGCTAGTGGACGTCGGAAGTTCAGGAAGATTTGCCAAGGCACCAGCTTGCTACTGGTCGGCGATTCCACCGGCGGAGTTGAGGGGAGAATCTATGCAAGATTTGAGCACGAATGGAGGGTTCGTCTCATTTGGTATCATTTATCAACCAAACTCGATTTAAACATTTTCGATCACACAATTTCACAATTTTTAAACCACGAATTCTGTTCATATCTGCAGAAATCATGGCACGACATGTTGAAGGGAAGAAACTCGAGAAGACTGTATGGAATCTGCTCAATTTCAATGCGTTGGTGAAATATCATGTAAAGGTAACATCAGAGTTATTATTAACACTAACTCACTAAGCACACAGATTTGCAGACATTAATGGTGTCATGGTGATATGATTCTGAAACAGTGCACTAAAGGGTTTGTGCAACGAAGAATGAGAAGTCGTTTTGGATAGCTTGGTTGAGGCTCTGCAACATACGAGCATGAAAGAAGATGAAGATGAACATATTGGAAAAGTTAAAGGTATTATTGATAAACGATCATTGATCTTTGACTAATTTTGACCATTTGTTCAAATCCTGATGCAGGACGTACACGTGTGAAGAAAGTGATGAGGTTTATGAGATGTAAGGTTGTTATGAGAAGATGGAATTTGAAGAAACAGATTAAGAGAATACGATCGAGAATAAGAATCCATGGATTTGGAAAGTTTCAAAGACGTTGGTTGAAACTTCCAAGTTTCTCTTCTGTAATGAGATATCACAAGCTAGAAAAGTCTTGATCAATAAAATTTATAGAGAAAATGAATTAGGAGGATAACAATGTTTTTGTTGTTAAAAAATGGCATTGAACCTATTGCTTCATTTTTTCTTTTTGTGTATTACACCATTAATGTTGTTATAACCGTTTAGAAATAATCCATTTTACCGGTTTCTTCCTGTTAAAAGGACTATTTGTAAATGGTTAAAATAACCTTAATGGTGTAATTCGTACAAAAAATACATAGAGACCTAAAATGGACAAACAGGAAACATTATTACCATCCTAAGATTTTTAGTATTTATTATTTTGAATATATATTTTTAAGATTTTTAGTATTTATTTTTATACGTGTATTTCATATAAAGTTGTTGAAATTAAAAAGAATAAAAAGTAGAAAGGTTTGGATTGGATTGGATTGGATTTTGTAACCACATCATCATGAACACCATGAACACCAACTCAACAATCAGGCGTTCCATATGAACCGTTGGTCTAGAATCCACCCAATCCACTATATCACGGATAGATGAAAACACAGGAAGGGACAAAACGGTTCCACCTAGTAGGCATACTACCCATAGGAAGCGTCATATCATTAACCCAATTCTGTGCTGATTTAACAATAAGGATACCCGACGATTCAAGCTCCCAAGACCACTTATCCGACATTTCTCCTATGCGAATAGGATTTAATATCTCCACAAGATAATCAAATTGGGTCGATTCAACACTCCTCTAATCCCCCGACGCCAATGAAAATTTCATCCCCCCGAATCTCATTATTCACTTACTCGAGCATCTTGATTAAAAGCCAAAGCAAAGAACCTCCCGAACCGCTCCCTAAGAGGAATATCCAAGCACCAAACATCCTTCTAGAACCTCGTTTGAGTCCCATCCCCCACCACTCTATACATAGAATTAGAAGGAATACAACCATTCCCATGGAGATGATTAATGGATCCTACAATCTTTTGCCAAACACCATCTCCAGTTCCTATTCTGGAATCGTCCGAAAAACCACCACCTTCCCCATGACAAAATTTGACAATTTTAACCCAAAGAGCTCCCTTGTCATTAAGAAACCGCCACTTCCATTTATAAAGAAGGTCAATGTTAAAAGCATTCAAACTACCAACCCCAAGACCTACAAGTTTCTTAAAAAGTAAAAATTTATTATAGGGGTTTATAGTTTCATACGGGGATAATGACTTAGGAGGGTAATAACGTTTCCCGTTTGTCCATATTAGGTCCCTAAAGTATTTTTTGTGTGTATTACACCATTAAGGTTGTTATAACCGTTTAGAAATAATCCATTTTACCGGTTTCTTCCTATTAAAAGGCTATTGTAAACGGTTATATAACCTTAATGGTGTAATACGCACAAAAAATACGTTAGGGACCTAAAATGGACAAACAGAAAACATTATTACCCTCCTAAGTCATTATCCCTAAAAAGTAAATTATTTTGTGTTTGTTTCCATTTTTCTATTTGTCGTTATGAATCTTGAATCTAGCCGTCATAAATAAATAAATTATTTTGTGTTTGTTTTGTTATTTAATATAAAAAAAACTAAGTTAAAATATAAATAAACTGGTTTGACCCATTAAGCTAGAAAAAGTTTATGAATAGTGACCTTGGGCGTAGAGCACGAGGTGATCAATGTTCATGATGACGGCGATAAGGATGTCAACGGTGAGAGTGAAGACGAAAGATGAATAAGGTAAGGCTAAGCGGTATGGTTACCACCAACCCACTAGAAAAGTGTTGTCATGTCAGCTCCACTACATGTTCACTATCAGGCTGTCCGGAGTGGAGGGGTGAAAGACGCATGGTAGCTGACGTGTCAGCCCCCAAGACCCGTGAACACCGCCCCCACCTCCAGTGGGTTGGGGTGGCGTGACATTAGAGACGGAACAAGACACGAGATTTGATTGGATATTCTCTTTTTGACCGTTGCATGTGAACGTTTGCATATTAAAAAAAAAATAATTTTTTAATTACTCCACCTTTTCTATATATATCACTCTTTTTTTTTTCATTTCAAACACAAACACATATATTCAACAAAAAAATTTCATTTCTCAAATATTCTTATGGATCCATGTAAGTCCCTAATCTGCTTGTGTATCAATCAGATCCGTTTGATGGTGCGGAATCTCAATCAAACGGATGATGTCAGATCAAATAGAAGAGAAGGAGAAGAAGAAGATGATGAATCTTGTATGTATTGATATGATTGAAGATCCGGATACAAGATTCACACACACTAACACACACTCTCTTTTCTCTCTCTTTCTCTCTCTAGAACACCTTGAGTTTCACACACTTAAGCTCCTCTATTCTATGTGTTCATCTCTCTACTCCTCACCCTTTACACCTATATTTATACATAAGAAACATGAGCTTGGTGAACATGGGCCGTAAATGGGTTTACGGCCGTAAACCTGTTTACGGCCGTAAACACAACCGTAAACACGTATACGACCGTCAACACCAAGCTGTTTACGATCCAAGACACAAAAATACATTTTCCAAGAAAAGTAAAGTATAAACCATATTTTTGACCCAACAATCTCCCCCTTGGTTTATAGCTTTCTTTTCTTTTCTTAAATGACCCAACAATATTCTAGCTCCCCCTAAAAAGTAGCTGGCTTTCTTGTTCATCTTCATTGTAAGCTTGGCTTCAGCATTTTATCTTCAATGAATGACTTCATCTTGAGCACTTGGGCATTTCTTCAAGATTTGACATTGAACGCACATTGGGTGAGGAGGCTTGACGTACTGATTCTTGAAAGATAGCGCTTTCAGCTTGAGAATCTTTAGAGAGAACATCAGAGAGAACAAATCTTCTAGATCACTTCAGCAGGTACAAGATAGCAGCAGACTGATTGAGGAGGCTTCAATGCAATCCGTCACTTAATCTTCAATTTCAGCTTCACCTTGCTTCTGGGGTTGAAGGATTGAATGTCGAAAGAATAATCTTCATTTCTTGCTCCTTCGAATGCGAATTCTTCGATGATCACGGATGAAGCCTTGGCTCAGAAATCTTCGACACAAACTCCATGAGTTTCATCTTCACCTGAATTCACTATTCAAGACAAAACAAAACTAAAAGAACAATTTAGCACACAATATTTTTTTTTTGATTTTTCATATTTTCTGAAAAAGAAATAAAACATAAATAACACTATTTTTGGATTTTTTTTTATTTTCTGATTTTTGTTTGGTTTTTAAAATTTTTAATTCTCCCCTAATATTTAAATTAGAAGAAAACTATGAACAAATTTAACAAAAACAAAATGATATCTAACTTTAAGAGTGATTTGGGATCAAAGTTTTTTAGACAGCCTTTATCCGTTTATCAGTACCTCTCCCTTCATGAATAGATCTGGTCAATCGTCGGTATTTTGGTCCACTTAAACACGAGAGATTGTGACAAAATTAGGACATACTATAAGTGACAAGACAATGTGATCCTAAGTTCCTAGATAATATTCCTTAAGGACCATTCAGCTGACGACGACCAAAGATATTGTTGTCCACCTAAATTGAGCAGCGAGATCTACAGACAATCTGTAAGTGTTCAGTTTTAGTTGTATCAGAACATGTTTCCCGCTTCCTGATATGCTCTAGTAATCAAGGACTTCCAGAATACTCCTTACATCGGGTGAGCAGACAATTATTAAGAGAGAAGATAGATTTAGAATGCATATGCTATACACCCATGTCGGATCTCTTCCAATCTCGCAGAGGGTGAAACATATGACTAACCAGATTTAGAGGGATTGAGAAGTAGAATGGTGCATATGCTGTGTACCAGGTCGGATGGTTAATCACGCAAATGAGACAACATATGACTAACAGACAGGAAGAATTGCATAGATAGAAGATGCAGAGAAAATAGAATTGCATATGTTGCAGTCCAGGTCGGATGTATTTCAATCACGCAGAGGAGGCAACATATGACTAACAGAAAGAAAGCAAGAAAATAATTTCCTACAGACCTACTTTATCGGAATTCCCTAGTCACCCCATCAATACCGGAATTAAGGACAGAATCTGCACGTCGAGGAAGAGTTAAACCACAGTTCTAGATACGGATTACTTTAATGTGACCGGTGGATTATCATGTATATCTCCCTGCTCAACCTAACCAAGCGTCGTATTGTCAGGCTAAATGGATCTATCTAGGTCAAGATTTGTCAAGTCTCTAGATTCCTTAAGTTCATTAATGCCTAGTCAAGTCCATTTTAATCTTTCGTGCCTACCAGCGCATCAAACACAGAGCCTAGACAATTCAGATTTAGTCCCTTACACAGATTCAGATTGTCTGTTATCACATGATATATCACTTCCCAAAACATCTCCCTCAAGCACATTCCATAACCAACATATTTTTTTTGATTATTTGATTTTCTAATGTTTTTGGATTTTTTAAAATTTTAAAATTTTTGTTTTGTTTTTATTTCTCCCCCTAAATTTGTGCATAGGAGAGAAACGAAAGTAAATGCGCAAATTTAAACTATCCTAAAAAAAATTAGTCTTTAAAACGAATCAGCTTAAGAAAAACTCAGGAGTATAGAGAAGAAAACTCAAACCGTAAGTCACCGATTGAATTTGCATCCAGAAGGTCTGAGAACAGCACGCGTAATCTCAGAACAGATCCAAAAATTCTTCACATCGTTAAGCACTAACCCCGTTTGTGATCTCTTCCTTTCTTCCTTTCCCGCAAAGGACACATACTCCCAAACAATGTTCTGAGTGTTGTACAGTTGAGAGATGTCTCCTATCATGTGCCAGGAACAGCCACTACCAACAAACCGAAGTCTGATGATATGCCTCCATAGCTGCTCCGACACAAAGCGGGATCAGTTGGTCTTTGGAACCCAGTCCATTTTGAAACTGGGTCGACCTTTGTCATTAACACAAGATACATTCTCCCATGACATGTCCTATTTATCACAAACAAAAGATGTAGAAATATTAGAGTCATTAGTTGATTTGGGAGAGTGAGCCTTTGGAACCCATTTGTAGTTGGGTTTAATCCATTTCTTTTTCGATCTGATGGGTGGCTCAGTACTTGCTTTTGAGCTTGATATCGGCCTTTGAGATGACTTTGACCTAACCGGTCTTTGTTTCACTGGAGCATCTCTTGGATTGGGCTTCTTGGCCGACATTTCCTTCTTGCCCTTGGGATTCGGATTCTTGGCCTTGGGAGTTGAATTCTTGGCCTTCTTGGCATTCCAATCGCCAATGTCTGATCGTGACCTTGAGGGGTTTCTTTTGGAGTATCTCCCTCTTGGTGCGTTCTGCCAGCCTTGTGCGTAGTAAGGAACGTATGCGCGTTTAA